GAAGGCCCACTAGGCAAGGCACCGAGGACACCATCAGCCAACAGCTCCTAAGGACCTAAGAGCTTAGTTTAAAGCCTGTGCAGAGCTGAATCCTACCAACAACCATGTGAATGAGCTAGGAAACAAAACCATCCCAAATGAGCCTTGGGATGACTATAGTCTTTTTGAGAGACCCGGAGCTAGAGAACCCAGCTAAGCCACAACAGGATTTCTGTCCCAGAGAAACTTTGAGATAATAAATGAATAAATGCTGTGATTGTGATTTTTTTTTTTTTTTTGAGATGGGAGTCTCACTATGTTGTTCAAGTTAGTCTCAAACTCATGAGATCAAGTGATTGGCCTGCTTCAGCCTCCTGAGTAACTTGGATAATAGATGTGGGCCACCATGCTTGTCTAATGTTATTTCAAGCTACTAAATTGTAGGGGAATTTGTTACACAGCAAAAGATAGCTAATACACATCTTAAGGAAGAAAGCGAAGCCTAGGGAGATGAATTAACTTTCAAAAAGTCACAGTTAGTAAATGGCAGAGCCAGGACACACACACACACACACACACACACATTTTAATACATTAGGTTTGAGAGTCCAAGTTTGAGTCTACTATTTTATGAGGTTCCAAGTGATTGGGTCACTGGAGTTCTAGAAGGCATTCTACTCTGAGAAACCTTGGAGAGTAGCCATGTTTCCAGGAAACTCTTTGTGCGCATGTAAAACAGGAATGAACAAAAGTTTAAATGGTGCTAAGTACTTTGTACAGCCCACTCCTTGCTGCAGAAGAATGGTGGATCCACCCATAGATCTGGTGATAGTAACTAGGGGCTCCTTTCAATAAGCACAATGGCAGAGCTAAGAGCTAATTGCCTATCTATTTTATAAGCCCTTAAAATCATCTTACTTATAAAATGCAAGATGGGTTGAGGGGGTAAAGTGCTCTTTCTTTTCTTTTCTCTTTTTTTTGTTTTGTTTTCACTGGGGATTAAACCCAGGGGTGCTAAACCACTGAGCCATATCCCCAGCCCTTTTTATTTTTTGAGACAGGGTCTCATTAAATTGCTTAGGTCCTTGCTAAATTGCTGAGGATGGTCTTGAACTTGTAATCCTCCTGCCTCAGCCTCCTGTTTTTTTTTTTTTCCCCTTGAGGATGAAAATAAATGTACTTAGAAATAATAAAGCATAGTATAGTATTTAAAAGTCACAAAAGCCCTGGAATTAGAAAGCAAATGGTTCTGAGAGAACAGCCCCTTCCATTGACTTTTTTTTTTTCTTTCTTTCTTCCCATCCATGAAACAGAGCCTTAAACCTTGAAACTACAGTGCCTTGTTCCAAGGTGGAAAGCAGCCTGGCTGCCCGGGTTGGGATGGTAAAAACATCTTCTCCCAGATAATCTGCCTTTGTTTAGTCAGAGTTTTTTTTTTTTTTTTTTTGCCAGTGGTCACCTTTATGAAGATACGGACCTCAGCTGACTGCATGAATCTATCCTTCCTTGTCAGTCTGCCTTGGTGCCAGAGCAATAGGCTTTGAACTCACAGAGGATTTCCAGGTGACAGAAGAATAGTCTCATAGGCTGGAGCCCTGGCACACTTCCCCTTTTAACCAGTGGCAGAGACTGTGCTTTGCTGGTGCAAATATGCAACCTGGTGTAAAGTCCACAGCCAGGGAGGGGTTGGAGCAGGGCTCAAAGCTGGCTCAGCACTCAAGTTGGGCTTCTGAATTCTCTTTCTAGTTTTCTTTATCTTCTATTTTCCTGACCCAATGTCTCTCTTTTCCTGTCTTGTCTTTCCTGGCTATCTCTCTCTCCTCCCTTTTCTCTCTCTCTCTCCCACTTCCCTTCTGCCTCCACCCTCTGGGATCCCTAACCAGGAAACCACCTCTTATCCAGTATCTTGGCTTGCTTCCAACTGCTAGTGGCAGACAGCTCTGGCCCTTGTCTGCTTTCTGAGTGATTTTCTTCTCCATCAGTTGTTTGTTTCTCTAATCCAGTTGGAATTGGAATTAGAATTGTGTATAGAATACTGGGGAGTGAGGGGGGTGCAGTATGGGGGAGATCCCAAAAATAAAAAACAGAACTTTGCCATGGTGAGATTTTGCTTCTCTGAACGAAAATAGATATGAAAGGAGATTTGGATTCTGCTCTCTTGCAAAGTGACATTATGAAAAGAGAGCTGGAGAAGAAGTAGCATTACTACCCACCAAAGCCCAAAACATCCATATCACTCTTCAGATATTGAGACATGGCTCTGATCCTCCATTTTCCACTTAATTGGATTTATAAAGGCTATTTTTTTTCCCTTCATATACCTGCCATCCTAGTCTTGCTCCAGTAGGTCTGAACAGATACCATCTTTGCCACCTACACAGCCTGCCTCATAACACAAAGCTCCAGACTCCCAGACTCCAGTGTTCTTGCTTTCTAAGAGGGGGCCCCAAGAGTCAGGGAGAGGCACAGAACACAGGAAGGAAAAGAGAAGCTGGATGGAGTAATTACATTACAAGGTTACTTCATGCACAGAAGATCAAAATGTATGGTTCAAGGAACAATCTCTTCAGTACTGACAGTCTTTGATAACACAATAGACTTCTGTTAGTTCCAAGCATTTTAAAACATTCATGTTTTATAAAAAAGGCTTTCCTTCTTACTGGGTTTATGTATTTACATTTTCTTTCTTAACTGATTTTCACAAAGAATGGCGGTCATAAAAGTACATATACATGTATGAGCAAAAGCATTTATGAAAACCATTAAGTGTTTGAATCAGGATGAATAACTGACCTTTGTGCAATTTCCCCCCACGTTTTGTGATAGTAATTTTGTTGAGTTCCTAAACGTAGATGGCAGGTCCTCTTAGTGAGACTGGCCTAATTCTATGTTCTCTATGGCACCAAGTCACTGTGGCTGTGCAAGAGCCATTATTACTCAAAGTACCATAATAATGGCTATTCCCTCCTATGACGTTATTGTTTCCTATCTGCCAGGACATTAATTGCCTTCTAGCTTGCTCTAAAATTGGTAGTATAGCACACTGCCAAGGCTAGAGAGAAGAAAGCTGCTGGTGATATATTAAAAGGCTGTGTGAAAGAATGCATTGCTGTTTCCTTCTCATTGGGACATCTTCACATTTGCATGTTACTGCATTTATTGTGGGATGTTAGCTAAGGCTTTCATCTTGACTTCCAGCTTATCATGGTCAATGTCTGATCTTTCCTTTAAGTAAATGATTCAGACATCTCTGAAGTTATTTTGGCTTTTTCACTTTCCTTTTATGGGCTTTTTTCTGAGTCAGTGAATTGAATGGGAGGTTATTTCTAAATTGGAAGGTGAGGATGAGAGAAGGAGGAGTAAAGTTCCGGAAAATAACTAGGAAAAGACACTTTTTATGTATAGTTACTGGAGGAATAATTTCCACTTGGTTTGGTAATAGAAGTGTGTAATTTATTTAAATTTGACTAAAAATATAAACTAGAAAATTATTATTTTTTTCTTCTGGATAACAAACCATACAGTTTTAGTTTCCTTGTAGCTTGCTCTGCAAAGGATAGGTTAGTAAGTAAAATAGACAGGAACAAAGAATTAGCAGGAAGAAGGTAGGGGCAAAGTACAAAATTTCCAAAGTCCAGATTCTTGGTCCCACAGAAAGATCCCAATCTTAAAGTAGTGCTTGTGAGGTGAACAGATCCTTGATGGAGTTCGTGTATGTTTCAAGGACTGTGGGTTTGCTTAGTACATAGGTAGATATGTGAAGAAGGTAAATTTAAATATGATTTAGAAATTCAAAGAGTAATTAGGACAGCATTTTCTTGTTCAGGAGCAGGAAAAGTGGGTGGAAATGAAAAAGAAAAGCACAAAAGCTAATGATGAATATATTTCTAGGAGCACAAGAGTTTTTATAGCAACACCAGATTTCTCAAAAATGCCTACTGTGATTTGTACCCAAATGAATAAAAAATGCAATCATTTATTCTTGTGCATTGTGCCAAGAGAGACAGAAAAGAAACAAACAAACAAACACTGCAATTCATTCAATGGCTCTAATTTAGACTGCTAGGAAGAGGTTTAGAAAAAAAAAACACAAGCTTTTAAAGTATCTGACACACAGCTAGTAGGACTATTTAAAAACTGATGAACATAAAAAAAAAAAAAAAAAAAAAAAAAAAAAAAAAACAAGCAAGGATGGAAGGAGAGGAGGGGGCAGGAATTCTTATTTCCAGAACATCCACAAGGGTAAAATGTGGCCCGCTTATTCAAAACTTGCTGATGACTGGCTGGTCACTTGTCAGAAGCCCTCTAGGAGTGGGTCTGGAAGCTGGAGAGCTCTCGAGGTTACGCTTCATTTTATTGACGACTTATATAATCGCAACTGAAGTGGACTGTTTGCTGCTAAATAGAAGGCTGCTCTTTGCCCTTTAGCTGGGAGATTCCCGGAAAGAACTTCAAGGAAACTGGGAGCATTGGGACCTCAAGGAAAGGGGAAAATTTTATCTCTACAGTACCTTTCTTCCAGGGGATTAGAAATACTTCTTAAACACAACCTCTGGTATTGGTGTTTTGCAAGGGTTACCTCTATGAGTAAGTTGGCACTGATAAGCTTCGCCTTGTAGGAAGGGAGCCGGAGAAGGGGAAGAGTTTTCACTCCACAACAAAGAGTTAACCCTTCCCCAGAAACCTCGGATGTGAGCGTCTGCCCCTTCTTTGCTTTCTACTGCGCAACCAAACTGCACAAGCTTGAACCAACCGTGGTGGTCACATCCTTTGCCAGTTAACTTAACAGACACGTCAAGCAGCCTATCAAAACTTCGAACTGCCCAACTATCAACCAATTACAAATAAAGCTTGGTCTAAGGCTCTCCAGGTCCGGGCGGGGGCGAATACACGGTCCAGGAAAAGGGGCGTTAAAGACGCGATGACGGGCGGGTAAATTGAGCCAATCATAGCAGAGAGCCGCCGCCCCACGGTCCAATGGATAGGTCGGAAGTATGATATAGGGTGGGCCTGTTGTCATGGGGGAGGTGGTGGCGCTTGGTGGCTACTGGCGGCCGAGGTAGAGGCACCAGCCCGGGAGTTGGTCGGGGGCCCCGGCAGGTGAGTGCTGTAACGTGGGCCTCAGGTTTGGAGGCCGTGATGGGGCGGAAACTCCAGCTCAGCGCTCCGGAGGCGGAGGCCGGAGGAAGGGGGCCTGGACTACGGGCCGGGTTGGGGCCGGGGCCAGGGCGGAGGCGAGTTCGCCCTGACTGGGCTGGTGGGAGAATGGCCCGGTTCCTGGAGTTCGCGCTGGGAAGGTAGGCTGGCGCCGGACACCAGCGGGTCAGGCCGGGAGGTCCTTTGGGACATCCCGCTGCTCGGGTCTGGGGCGCTGACTGCGGGCGGCTGTGTGAGAGGTAGCTCCCTGAGGAGACGTTAGCGACTGGGGTCCCAGAGAGAGGGGGGTGACCCAGGGTGACTGGTCCGAGGGCGGGGTGACTTGGGAATAACCAGGACGACTTGGGAGTGAGAGGGGGAGCCCCGAAAGCTCGGGAGCAGCGGGTGCGGCCAGAGCTGGGGGTCAAGGGAACTGGGAGTGGCCCCTATCGGAGAGAGAGGGAGGTGGGGAGCCCGAGGGCGGCCGGGGTCCGGAGTGACAGGGGGCGGCCTGGGTCCGAGTGGGGCGTCTGAGGAAAGGCACTGAGCGGGGTGAGAAGTCTCCTGAGAAAGGCGGCCGTCCGGAGGGGAAGGGCCCCTGCGGAGATGGCGAGCGGCGGGTCTTCCGAGGGTCGGACCCGCCGAGACCTTGAACCGTCTCGGGGGGGGGGGGGGGGGGGGGGAGGAACCGCTGCGCCCTGCCCCCCACGGCTAGTTTGGGATCAGAGACCCGAGACCCGACCGGCAGCTTGTGGGTCTGAAGATCCCCGGGACACGAGGAAAGAAATCCTCGAGGAGTAGATCGGGTGAGGGTTCTGCGGGGAAGTGGAAGTTCCCTCCAGCGAAATGGAATGGAGGTGGGTGGAGGTGGGAGGGGAAGAGTGATTTCCCTGTAGGAAGGGAGTAGTAGACGCCGCCAGCGAGCGAGAAAGTTGCGCAGGAAGAGAGTAGTGGTCCTGTGGAGACTAGCCAGGACAGTAGATAAGCGAAATTAATGGTGGTGCCAGTAATAGGTTCTAAGGTCTTCAGAAAGACTAGAAACTTCAGCTTCATAATTAATACTAAGATCCCATCTAGGACCAGAGAAAAGGTTCTAAAAAGCAAGGTTAAGTAACTTGCATTCCACTGCTTTAGAAATTTGTTTTAGGACGACAGCCATAATACTAGAAAATAAGGACGTTGACAGGACGGGGGAATTTGAGAGGGGAAAGGGGAGGAGTAGTTGAACTAAGGGAATGGAACTGGGGACTTGATCAGAAGGAAGATATTCATGACAAGGATAGGCATACCCTGCTAAACTGAAAATAAATTTAAATTCTAGTTCCACCACCTGGCTTGATCGGCTTAACTCTGCGGTTTTCTCATCTGTATATTAGGGAGACTGATAGTTTTTGATTTTGTTTTGGAGTGTTGGATATTGAACCCAGGGCCACAGGCGTGATAGGCAAACACTTTGTCACTGAGCAACATCCCCGACTCTTTCTAAAAATTTTTATTTTGAGATAGAGTCTTGCTAAATTTCCCAGGCTGGCCTCGAATTTAGTGAGCCTTCTGCCTTACCCTCCCGAGTAGCTGGGATTGCAGGCATGCCCCATGGTGCCAAAATTCCCCCGATTACTAACAGTTTTTATTTAATAGGGTTCTAAATTTTTATTTATTTTTACATGTTAGTGTTTGTAGAGCTTTTAGACTAGTGATTGGAACATAGCACTGTGAATTGGATTATTGAGTAGAGGCTAAAGATCTGAGTTCTTTAAGGTGGAGATCTTCAAACTTTTTTTTTTTTTTTTTTAACCTCAGAATCACTTGCTAACTACAGATTGTTTGGCTCCACCTGGGGTTTGTTTTTGTTTGTTTTGTGGTATTGGGGTTTGAACCCAAGGCCTGGTGCAGGCTAGGTGAGCAGTATCCCACTGAGCTGGGCCACAAAAGGGGTGGGTACCCCTTTTAAATTTTGTTTTGACTGCTGGTCTCACTAAATTGCCCAGGCAGCCCTAGAACTTGTGATTCCCCTGCCTCAGCTTTGAGTAGCTGCAATTACAAGCAGGTGCCACCATGCTGGGCTCCACCTGGGGTTTCTGATTCAGTAGATCTGGGGTGGGACCCAAGAATTTGTATTTATCTCAAGTGATGCTTATGTTGGTTAAGGGACTGTACTTTAAGAACTACTTGCTTTTAAGGAAATAGTAATAATTAGCAGCCTGAAACTACCTGCCCATCCTGCAAAAGAAACAATTAGAGGCAAATTGCAAAAAGGATCCTATTATAAAGGATAGGTGACCCCCCCCCCCCCTTTAAATATATTTCATGCTAGGCAAGTCTCTACCACTGAACTACACCCCCAGCCCCAGGGTACCCTTTTTAAAGCCTGTTTTTAAAACTTTGGATCATGATTAGTTAGTAATTTATAAAATCAAATTTCCAGATTACATCAGCATGGGAAATACAATGAAGTAGAACAGAATAAACTAGTTGGTAAGGAAAAGTATTATTTTGGGAAATTTCTCATACATGTTTGTACTAGGTCACAATGTAAAATGAACTTTTTACATTCAAAGTTTGAGAAACTCTTGAGCCATTCAGTATAGTAAGAGCAACTCTCTAATATCTAAGCGCTGGGTTATTTACTCATAGATCTTTACATGGTTATCCTATCTCAGATGATGACATTTCATTAAATTTTTTGGTTTCTGATTTGGTTTCTCTTGTGTTGGTGTTATATATTGTGTTGTGCCTCTGACTCAATATTTTTGGATATTTAGAATCTTTTGCATTAAGGACTTAAGAGAAATTGCTGTTTTTTCACTTTTGTTTCACTTGGGCCCTCTTGTTTACACCCCCCCCCCCACTGTACTGTAAAGCATTGTCTGTAATAATAATAATAAAATACAAAAACCCTAAGTATACACAGATTATTGACAGTAAACAACTCACACTGAAATATTTGAGAACATTTCAGATATGGAAAGTAAGCAACAATAAAAAAAGAAACATTTCAAAACAAAGTGAAAAGGTATCTGGTGTTTAGACTGTCAAAATATTTTCTTGACCTAATACAAAATACATTTTTAAGGGAATCAGCAATATGATTTCTAGCTTTCTGTAGAGAGAAGAAAATGGTGTTAATACTTGACAGAAAAATGCACTGGGATAGAGGCTTACCTACAAAGACAATTGTTTATTAAGCAGGAGCTTTTGTTTCATTGGTTTTCTCCCCAGAGAGTGAACTGGTTGTGGCATATGTTGTAAATTTAACTTGTTTGAGGAACCTAAAGGTAATCCACAGTATTTATGCAAAGTTATATTAAGAATATGTACATTGGGCTGGGATTGTGGCTCAGTGGCAGAGTGCTTGCCTCACATGTATAAGGCACTGGATTTAATCCTCAGCACCACATAAAAATAAAATAAATAAAAGTATTGTGTTCATCTACTAAAAAAATTTTAAAAGAAGAATGTTTTATGTTCTTCTTGATTTGATTTTTTTTCTTTTGAAAACTAGATGGTTTATTTGAAAACAAGATAGAATTGATTTAGATCTGTTTTTATGGATGTGAGAACAAAAATCAATATTGAAAACTGAAAGAGATCCTTGTAGCTTTCTTTACAATTTTTAATCCAGGATATTATATAACCTTTCATTAATTTTTTATGAAGTTGTGAAAAAACTATTTCCATAGCTTTACATCAAGATTTTTGGATATTTTTTTTTTTCCTTTAAAAAATGTAATTTGAGGACTGGGGTGGTGGCTCAGTGGTAGCGTGCTTGCCTAGCATGTGTGAGGTACTGAGTTCGATTCTCAGCACCACATATAAATAAATGAATAAAGGTCCATCAATAACTAATGGAATTTTTAAAAAATGTAATTCGATTACAAGTATTTCTATTTCTTTAAAAAAGTTTATGTTTTCCAGCCTTCAAATAACATATTTGAAATCAAAGGCAAAAGCAGGGTTGTTTTTTTTTTTTTTAACAAAACAAATTTACTGAGTTTTTTGTCACAAAGTTTCCATAGATGAAAGCTTTTGATTTCTTGAATTGGGTAAATGGAATATCCCTAACACTTTCAGTCATTTTACATTTATATAGATCACTCATTTCTACACCAAGTGATGGAAAAATGTAAAATCTTAAGTATGGGGGAAAAAAATCTAGAAGTTCATTCTACATAATTGTGAACCTTGAACAGTTTGGTTACTTAATAAATGGACTTTATTCAGTTGAATTATTATTTATCCATAATTTAATCATACTTATCTATAAATAGCTTTAATTGCTCAACTCATTTTGCAGTGAGATCTGTTAAGCTATAGTTGAATCAATTGTGTTTTTTTTAAATCCCAAAGAAACTGTGTGCTCCTAATTGTATTATTTTGTGAGATTTAGTTTCACTTACCAAGGTTTATTCAGATAAATGATTTTTTTTAAATGGAAGTTTAATTAATGAGTTAATCAAGTTTATTTTCTATTTCATGGAAGTTTTATCCTTTTTTTAAATAAAAGAAATTGTTTTTGCATTTTTTAAAAAATATTTTTTAGTTGAGGATGGACACAATGCCTTTATTTTATTTATTTTTCTGTGGTGCTGAAGATCAAACCCAGTGCCTCACACATGTGAGACAAGGACTCTACCACTGAGCTATGACCCCCAGCCCTGCATTCTTCTTCTTTTTTTTTTTTTAATAACCTTTATTTTATTTATTTGTTTTTATGAAGTGCTGAGGATTGAACCCAGTGCTTCACATGTACTAGGCAAGCACTATACCACTGAGTACACCACCCCAGCCCAAATCTTATCCTTTTTCACCCAACCCTACCCATGGGATGGAATGTAGGCCTTTATCACTGAGCTACATCTCTTATTTTTCATTTTGAGGCAAGGTCTCCTTAAATTGCCCAGGCTGGCCTAGAACTTGTGATTGTCCTGTCTCCCGAGTCTCTGAGTTATAGGGCCTCACTAAGT